TTTGTAAATGATTTTCCAGAAGTAAAAAGCAATTCATTTTTCCAGAGAGAATCACAAAGGGCAATATTTAAATAATCATTAAAAATAATTTACTTTAAAGATGCCACTGATTAAGCACATTTGTAATATTAATTTTTTTCAAAACTTGGCTTTGGTCCCAAGCCTGAGGTTGATGTTTACTGTTTGTCTAATGCCCCGGTTTATTTTATTAATTTTGTTGTTTTATTAGATCATTTAAGTCTGGGCTGTCTGATTTAACATTTTAAGCTGTTTTCATGTTTTTTTCTAATTTTGTACACTGCCAGAGTCCATTGGAGTTGGGTGACCAATAAATTTTAAATAATAATAGTGATAGACGTAATTATAAATATTGCAAGTCACAACTATTGTTTATAAAAATACATCACTTTACTATGACAGAAAAAAGAAATAATTCTTCTCAAATATTTATTCTATTTTTACTGTTCAATATTTTGAACTATTATTGTCATATGCATATTTAATTCATCTAGCTTTTGTGTTAAATTAAAAGTCCAAGAAATAATGGCAATATTCTAGTGCCAACTGAACTATTCTTCCCTTTAAAACTGATCTTTTAAGTAACACATTTTTAAAAAGGAAAGCATGCATACAGTACAGTACTATGCATACAGTACTTTCAAGTGGTTTGCCAGAAAAAAAGGTAACACTTTGTGTTCTCCAAGTACAGTATATGTTTGTTTTAACAATTGTGTACTATAAAAACGCTTGATGAAAAAACAACTACATTTTGTTTTTTCAAGGGTTACAATTTATCAGATAAATGCATAACAACAGCAGTCTGTAACATATCATTATTTCAATAAGTAATGTCAGCTTTTACAACCAAAAATAAATGTTTAAATCTGTCATTAGCTGTCTATCTACTTATCTCTTTTTTCCCCCACTTTACCCCCAAGCAAAACATAGTTACACAAAGTTCATGTAGTATACTAAAAGCATCTGGAATGAACATCAAGTTACATTTTAAGACATTTGTAACTAAATATAAATTTTGGAACAAATGTTTTCAATATAAAAACATGTGAAATTCAGTCTTTTACATGTGGCCAAAAGAAAAGAAAACAAAAACAAACAGCCAACCATGGAGAGTGACGCAGTAGGAAAACATTTTATTGCTGCTATTAACACCAAGTACAATCAAGTAGCCTCAAGGTTAAGTCACAATGCAACATTTTAAAGAAAGAGACACAGCTTAAATCCCTTCTATTAAATTGCTCCACATGCAGGGAAAGGCTTTAAGCATCTGCTAAAAGAAGCAGGGATGTAACATGATCAGAGAGGTTAAGAAGACAAGAGAATGAAACAAACTCGGATATCACAGAATCTGGGGTCTCTATGAATTTTAATAAATAACTGGAGACCTTCTTTTTTCCCCCAAGTCTGCCCTTTTAACACCCTCCACAAAGAATGAGCAGAACTTGAGGAACATGCAACTGTGATTTAGTGGCAATGGAAGACAGTGATGTCTTCCTAAAGCATCTTTAATTTCAAGGAAGCAAAAATGAACTGAACACTTATTCCAGGTCCTTACAGAGCAGCAACCAGCTCTATCCATTTTTTTTATTAGGAGCCAATCAGGGTAAGAATGTAAAAACACTGGTACATGGGGAGGGGAAGTAGAATAAGGGACCTTGGTTTATACTTAAATAGGCTAGGGTTTGAGATTCTGGAGGTTGGTGAGAAAAGAGTAAAGCAGCTGACTGATAGGCAGACACAGGTAATAGATTTATACAAGCTGCCTATTTTTCTATCTCCCTAGAGGGGATGAAGAGCCACATGTCATAGACATAATTATGCAGCACTGGAAATGGCAAGAGGTTAAAATGCATACTTTTTAAATGTGGCATCTTCCATTTTTTAGCATTTCTTTTGGAAAGGCATAAAGAGAAAATGGGGTAAAAAAAAGAAAATGGTATTAAAACTACTAAAAACAGATAAAGGAAATAGGTAGAAATAGATAGTGGAGAATGGCAGGAGATGAGATTAAGAGGCCTGAGGCTAGCCTGGAATACATATCATGGTCATTCCAGAAAAGACATGAGTAAGGTGGGGGTGGGAGGCAAGCTTAGAAATTTCCCATCACAAAATGCTATTATACAAAAGCCTAGAGTGTGTGCTCTCACACTTCCCTGATCTCTGTTTTAAAAGGGGGAAGGGGAAGTTGTTTGACCTTTTCTTTTGTTTGAAAACTTAAATATCTATCACAGAGAGTTCAGTTCACACACCATTTCTTACTAAAATACTTGTTTCACTTAACTAGAAAGGAAGAAAGGATTTATTTTGTACATATGGAGATAAAAGGTGATTATGGACATATAACAAATAGTAAGATAATAAAGGTTAAACACTAACAGGATAGTGATAGCAGCAATCACAGGTTATCATGGGAAAATAATTTTCATAGATGAATCAACTAATTCCCCTCAGTATATGCTAGTGTAATAGAATACAGGAGTATCATAAAAATGTTTTAACATTTAAAAGACAACATTAAAAAGGGGGAAAATACAAATGATGCAAAAATTCAAATGAAATATCTCTTTTTTAAGGGGAAAATTGTTAGGCTGGCTGAATCATTTAAAAGATACAATGAAGAAGCTACTGGAATGCTGGTGCTGTTGATGAAAAATGGTCCATTGAGAATATAGGAATGGTAGGAATGATTGAGAGTGATGTGGGATTTACTGACAATAGATTATACAGATTGAAGGATTGTCTCTGGAAGTGGGAATCTAGTACTAAGTTGCATGTAATGAATTTCCTACATCAATACCACTTCTGTGTAAGAAGTTGCACACCAACAGAAGACTGTCACCTAAGAAAAATACATGAATGTCTATTATTTTATATCAGAGTAACATAAAATTCTCATGTGGGTAAATACTGTTACAATGGGCAATACACAGTCAGGTCCTTTTATAAAGAAATATTTCATATGGAAAACTAATCAAATGAAAAGCAATCCTAAGGCTGAATTACTGTATTACTTACCCTGAGGTGAACCCCACAGTTGCTTACTTCTTAAATAAGTTTGGGTTGCACTGTTAGTATAGCAATCCTACATATATCGTTATCCTAAAATCACAGATCAGAAGACATTTTGTGTAACTAGCTCAAATCAGAAATTAGGGTGATTTGGTATAAGAGTATTTCTTTGTAATGATAAATTATGGCATTTGGATGATAATGGGCTATAAGCATCTAAGAGGGCAACAGAGTGATTTTGAGTTTAGGAAGGAACTCTGTGTTAGAAATTACCTGTTAGACTATCTGGGCCAATGACAGCATTGCTCTGAAAAAGGTTACATTTTAAGAGGATGCTGCAAGATTGGTTACAATCCATTCTTTATATGACAGGATTAAGAGATAAGAAACAAATGTATACTTTTAAAAATTAGTTTTAAAAAATTAAATAAAAAATAAAAAGTGATAAGCTATTGTGTGTGAGGATTAAGTAGGACAACAAAAACTATTTTATGAGTGGAGTCCTTAGTGCTCTCTGAGCTTGGTTGTTTGCTTGCAGACGTTTCATTACCCGACT